CCCGCTGCCATGGCGCCAGGGATGCAGCCTGGGGGCACGGAGCCGCTCCAGGGTGCCCCGGGGTCCTTCCGAGGGTGCTGCTGCAGGAGGGGATGGCAGGGGGAAGAGCAAACCTGGAGTTCAGCTTTCGCCCGTCCCCACGCTGGGGTCCACGTGGTCACAGCAACAGGGCCTGAGCAGATGCTGGCAGTGGGCTTTGGGTCTGCCCCTGTGCTGCTGGCCCCTCTCTGGAGCCAGGGGTGGCCCAGGGTCCACACCAGAGCCCAAGACACCTCATCCCCACACCACCGAGACCAAAAGCGGTGAGACCGGGACAAGTGACTGCTGGGAACCTTTGCCTTGGCAGCATGAGGGTGCCCAGAGCGATGCCAGATGCCACAGGGTTGGAAATGCAGCTCCTGACTGGAGACCCTCACCAACGCCTGGGGACCCCTGCCCGGCCTCTTCTCCAGCAGATAATGAAAGAAAATGTGATGCTCCCCGCCCTGGACCAAGCCCACAATAGACTTCCACCATCTAAGGGCTTTAAGCAGCCATAGCTTCAGTCTCTCCCACACTGCCTCCACCTGTCCAGGCACCTGCTGCGCCCCAAAATTGGGATTTTTTGGGGTCACTTCCAAAGATCCCAGACATGGACGCAAGTTTTGTGGCTCACCTCCTCCTCCCTTCAAGACAAGGGAGTGGAAGGGGGGGCTCAGCACCCCGTCGCAGAGGGAAGGCCACATGTCCCCCGCCCCAATAACACCCTGCATGCAGGAGGGCTCCTGCCCCACCAATGCTCCCATGGGTAGGTGCACCCTCATTTCAAAGCCTCTTGGGTGCAGTCAGACAAAGGTCACCATTTCTTCACAGCCTGAGGGGCAAAATGGGACCGACCCAAACACCCTCGAGTGGAGAAGGTGGGTCTGGAGGAACGCACCCAACTAGGAAAGACCCGAACCATCCCAGAGCAACCCGCTCCCTCCTCCCTCTCGAAGGCACAGGGACCCTTGCAGCTCTGTCTAGCCAGGCTGCGCAGCGTGTTTTCTCGCCCTGCTCCTCCCGAGCAGAGACAGCTGCAGCAAAGGCAGCCCCTGCTGCTCCAGCGTAATGGGCTCCGGCTGTCCATACCCCAACCTGAAACCACACACAGCCTTTGTTTCGGCTCTGCTGGCGCGAGGGAGCAGACACTTCCAGAACCCCTCTGAAAAGGAGAAAAAAAAAAAAGCCTCCATGACTCTTCCCTGACCAGGCTTTCACCTTAGCTCCAGGGTTTTCCAGGCTGCAGACACTATCTCATTTCCCCCCTGTCCCCTCCCAGCCCCAGCAATTACTACTTAAGCTGTTAAAACAAGCGTGGCCAGTCTGGTACGAAGTGGAAAATCTGATCCTAGGGAAGTGAGCAGGCTGAGGAAAAGGGAGGTCAAGGGGAGGTGGGCTCGGAGCGAGAGAGAAAAGGATCAGGACAGAAAGTTTCCCTCCACCCCAGGAGCAAACCTCCTTCCCTGGGGCTCCCAGCCGATGCCTCCCAACGACAGCCCGCTGTGAGTGCTCTGAGCGGCATCTTCTCCATTTCAAAGTCACATTTATCCCAGGCTGACTTTCAGCTTGTTCCCATCTGGGTAGGATGGGTGAATGCCACTGGAGCACTCGGTCTTCACCCCCCAAAATCGCCCAGACCCAGAGAGGCGATTTAAGGCTTCGACTGTACTTGTCAAACCCATTCCTGTGTACCAGGGACTGTGCCCAGTCCGTGCGAGCCGCTGGGGAGCCCGCCTTTCTCCAGACACCCATGGTATTAAAGGTGTTGCAGGCTAGTCTGTGTCTTCTTGGAGCTCCATCACCCAAAACCCAGCAATTCCGCAACAACCAAGCTGTTAATAAAAACAGATGTAGCATCTGCATGCATAGAGAACGGCAAAAAAATGACCAGAGCCAGGAATCACGACTTAAGAGCCCCCAGAAAATGTAATACGAGTTATTCTGAGGCTGATCTGGAAGTGGCAATGCGCACCTGCCCCACATGCAGCCCCAAGTCCCTGGATCTGGGCAAGACCACCACTTTTCCCCTTCAACCTCTTCCCAGCCCACGTGAAAATTGATACAACTTCTCCACCTTTCAATTGGTAGTTCAAAACAAAAAAAGACTTTAATTTATACAAAACAAAACCATGTGTAATCAGTTAAACAACATTGACTGTACAAAGGAATAAAAAAATAAAAGGATAGTCCAAAAAAACAACTCAGGAATGGTACAAGTGTTGGAGAGCAGCTACAGACTAGTGTTGACATCAGATGCAAGAATCTTTTCTTTTTAAATTTAAAAAAAAAAAAAGTTTTTGCTAAGCAAACCCTCCAGGTAAATCTTTCATCCTCACTCCGGACAGGATCTGTTGAGACCTTACAGGGTGAAAAAAATCAACTGCAAGGAAAAAGGCGTGGGGAGGTGTCACACGTGGCAAAGCCAAACCAAGCAGAGGTACATCAAGTTTTTCTAGACATGCAGCAGCTTTGTGATTTCAGGAAGGAAACTTCCGTCCCTCTTCGCCCCGCACACCGGTGCCCGGGAGCAGCCCGGCAAAGGGGCCCCGCGGTGCCCGGAGGATGTTTTCCAGGAGAAGTCGCCTTTTGCGGTGCCCATCACCTGTTGGCCGTATATCCCTGGGCTGCTGAGCCAGCGATTGTCTTCTGCTGTGTGTTAAGTGATGGGAAACAGGTGCCAGCCATCCCAGACAGGTTCTCGAAATCCCCTGGCCCCCGCAACACCGCGCCGAGCTCGGCTGCGGCTTTGCTCTTGAGCCAAACCACCACTACAAAGGATTCTTCTCCCCCCCTCCATCTGCCCAGGGTTTAATTCTCTCCTCGCTCATTTGAGCTGGGCAATAAAGCACGCTAGAGATGAGCCAAGAGACCTACCCCTGCTCTGCATGTTGCTCGGCAGAGCCAGGGGAGCAGGGAAGGCTCCCTCACCTCCCAAGTCGGCTCGGAAGCAAGGGGACGGCGATGTCCCCGTGGAGGGATGCGCCCCTGCCTGCTGCCTGAGCAAAGCGGGCCTGTCAGCCACGCAGGAGCCGCTGCGGCTTCATTCTGCCCTTGCAATGCAACAAGCTGCTCCGGGGGCGAGAGGAACAAACCCAGGCCTTGAGGAATTGCTAACACCAGGAGCAAGATGGCAGCACTGCACCAGCTGCTCTCCTCGCTGAGGAGAGACCAGCTCAGCACAGGGAAAAGAAGTTCGCTTTCTACCACGCTACTCACAATCTACACATCCTGGCCACCTACGAGACTCAGTTGACACAGCTTAGTCCCACCGCCAAGCCGCACGTAGCTTCTGCAGTAAGAGCAAGGCATTATTTCTAAGTTTCCAGGTGAATTTCCAGCACAGATCAGCCACGGGACGAAGCCAGGGAAGCACATGCTGTTGCTGGATCTGCTCCCACAGCACGCGCCCATTTCGAGCTCCTGCCGCTGAGCACATATGCCCCTCTCTAACCCAGGAGCGGTCCTACAGAACAAAGCAGTTTGCTTTCCCGATTTCCTGGAGCTGCCACGAGCGCCGAGCAGATTTGCCACAACAGGACCTGGGGATCGCTGTTTTCCCACACAAACCTTTCACCTTCCCAGTCCCTGCTCCTTCACGCTCCAGTGGGGAAAGCTTTTTCTGCCCTTTCCCCACTTTCATGCCGGAGGAGCTGCAGCAACGCTAGCTCAGGCAGAAGGTCTTTGGAAAAGCAAAACAAGAAGCAGCCAGGATTCAGGGCTTGTAGCATGGGGTGGTGTCGTGGAAGGAGGGCTCTAGAAGCAATGGCCAAAGTTTTGCAACAAATAAGCAAATTCTGCTTTAGGCACGATGCTTCCAGCCTCTGCTCCTCAGACCCTGATCAGCCGCACATCAGAAGGTGCAAAGCGAGCATCAGTTTGACCTCAGAGCTGCCTCTTTGTCCTGCCTGCCAAAAGCTAACATCGAGACCCCCAGCCTCACCGCTCTGCCCCTCGATCCACTCCCATCCCACCCTGCCTTCGGCACTCACAAGTTTTGGGAATAGTGGGAATAAAGCAGCTTGGGATATGTCACACATGAATCGATCTTTCCGTCTGCATATGTGGTATTTAAAAAAACCCAGCACAAGCCCAGGTGGTGATTGAAAGTCTCTTAAAGCATTTGTATACTTTCCTCAGAAAATCCTCCACTTCCCCCCTTTTGCTGACACTGGGAAAGTTAATCCAGTGCTTGTATTTACATGGCTGCATAAAATTTTCCCTGACAGCTTCTTAAAAAAAACCTTAAAAAACAAGTGAGATATATATATATATGTATAGTATTTACATAAATAAATGAAGAAGGCAAGTAGACTGCTTCCTTCCCCTTTCCAAATGGCCAACTCTTGCCTTGTTTACTTTGTTTTTGGCAACAGCAGGTTAATGTCCTGGTGAAAACTATCATTAGTCCCCTGTCCCAATTTTTTTTTTCCCTACCCCCTACATCCAATGATCACTATTGCACCAGCAATCTGTTCAGGAGTCCAAGAGTTAAAGTTGAAGCACAGACTCTCCTTGCCTACTCTCTTAAGCCTCTCAATCTTCCATTAAATCCATTTCTCCTTTGAGACTGGATGAGCTTTTTTCCCCTTCCCCCCTCCCCAACCCGGCAGCTGCTGAATTTTCCACCCCAGGCCGAGAGGCAAAGCCCAAAGCATTCTTGGAGGGTCACTTGGCAGAGTCCTCTCCCTGCCAGTGCTGCAAGATCCAGCCGGCACCACGCTTCATATGCGAAGCCAAAACGTGAGCACATTCCCAACGCTTGCGCGCGCCATCAAAAAAAAGCAACCGCGGCCCATTCAAAAGGATCCAGTGGAAAAGGGGTTAAGTGTGCAAACAGCTGTACGTCGGTGGGTGGGTGCGGATACCTTAGAAGCTCACGGCACATCCATCCTGCTAAGAGATCTTGCAGTTGTTGCGTGAGCAGTTCTGTGGGGGGCTCTGGGGTGGACGAATTGATTTGGATCTCTTCAGGCTGTTACCTTTGCTGCTGCTCCCACCTCCGCTGCTGGCCAAGGAATACGATCGGCCGTGCATCATCACCGCGTTCATCCCGTTGGCCATCGAGAAGGACTTCAGGTGACTCTTGATGGTGACAGGCAACGGCAGCTTGTCAATGAGGTGGACTGGGGTGCAGGACACGATGGCTCGGCAGCACAGGTCCTGTAAGCTGAACACTGGTGGGAGAAAGGAGCAGACAGTCGAGAGCCAAGAGATTTCAGGAGCTGCCTTCTCCCTACACCGATTCCTTGTGCTGTGCAGTTCCTGCTCCTCTGGGAAGAGAAGCTAGTAACAATTGTATAGGAGCCTTGAATAGAATCATAGAATGGTTTGGATTGGAAGGGACCTTAAAGATCATCTAGGTCCAACCCTCCTTCCACTAGATCGGGTTGCTCAAAGCCCCATCCAACCTGGCCTTGAACATTTTCAAGGAGGAGGCATCCACAACGCTTGAGAAACCCCGGGTAAGCTCTGCCTTAGAGGTTAGTCCTTTGCAGGACACCAGCTTTGGTGTCAACACAGGGCTTAGACATGGCCACCCCCTCTCTCTGCACAGGGCCCAGGACGGGTAGCGCCTTTTCCTGCTGGACACTCGGCTTTTCAGGCCGCCGTTTGGCAGCCAGCAGGACATGCCCAGGGAAGGAGGCAACAGGGCCAGTGAACCCCGAAGCAGGACAGTCTCACTTGGGACCTGCTCAGGGAACAGGAGCCATGGGGTCAGCTCTCTACAGAGCACCTGCAGCAACAGAGATCCCACCAAACCAGAAGAGACTGCCCTTTCAGGCTTCCCAGTGTCTTAGCTCAGCGTACACCACGTGAGCCTGCTTTTGGAAGTCTACTTGGAGGGATTTCCCAGCAAGCAGCCACACGAGGGCACGCTCTCCCCTCCAGCCTGCCGCGAAAGCCACACTGCAGCTCCCAGGCCGGCAGCCCCCAGCTCCCAGGCCGGCCTCTGGAAGACATTCAGGAGAGGTCTGCAAATGCAGCCCGGTTCCTGCTCTCCTGCTTGCGATCCCTCCACGAGCTGGAGGCAGCAGCATGGCAGCCAGGTCAGGGGCAGGAGCCCTGGCAGGTAATTTGGTTTCGGGGGTTGTCAGACAGGATTTTCCCTTCCTCATGAGCAGGAGCGAAGGAACCATGTGAAGACAAGTCACCCCCAGAGTGCAAATCTCCTGCTGCTCAGACTGCCAGCGGGGCACACTGCTGCCTCCAGCCAGGAACGTGGGACTGAAGACTATTCTGCTTCAAACGGAACAGGCTGAGATGTAACGCAGACCCTGCTCACAGTTTGCCACACTGCGGCACATATGCCTGGATATACGGAACCTCCCAGCCCACAGCTGCATGCCAGCAGCAGGGATGGGAGTTTCTCTTTCAGCTCCTCGGGCTCATTCTGCCTCCCCATCTCTCCAAAACAGGAGACACAGGCTCCAAAGGGTAAGGACAGAGATGCTTACACTTGGATTTATCCCACACAGCCATTTGATTGCAGTACTTTCAAGCTGTGAGCCTAACTGCCCTCAGCCTCATTCAGAGTAAGCAGAGAGAGGTAGGATGCCCTGTAGCAATTCAGATCCTAGACATGCTGAACTGCCCTCTGGAGCTGCCCGTTCCTCACCACCGGCTGCCAGGTTCCTGCGCTAGTACAGGTAGATTGGTACGGCTCAGATTCAGCTTGTCTGACCCGAGGCATTTCTCCACACCAGGTGCTTTCAGATCCCACAACTGCTAACAAACACACCTCCCACCCAGGCAGTCAGTCCTACCCCTCCACTCAGCCCAGCCAGCTCTCATGCCTTCCCCACGCCCAGCACTCTCCTCACTACTGACCTCTGTTGGGTCTCCAGATCTTCTCCATGCCATGCCGCATGAGCACGATACGGGACAACTCTGTGAAGGACTCTATGACGTTGAAGTTGCACAGGGGGCTGACCTCAAAAAACGTCATGCAGTTCTTCTCTGCGTAAGCCCGGGCCTGCTCCGTTGGCACTTGCCGCTTGAAGGCGAGGTGAAGCCTGTTTCCCACCAGGATCCGAGGGACACCTGGGGCATGCTTAAAAAAGGAAAGCAGTGGAGAAATCATAGCTTGTCCTTAGTAAGGGCAGCCTATGCCCACCCAGTGTTCTGTATGCAATAGCAGTGAAGGGCAAAGAAACAGAAACTGCTCTGTGACCAAGAGGGACTTCCAAGCAGTACCACTACACGATAAGGAAGACTAATTTATCCCCTCCACAGTCCATTTCAGAGGGAACTTTCCCATCTTTTTGACCATTCCCAAGCCCTTTCCTACTACCCTAGATTTATACAGAGGTGGAGGGCAGACTCTCATCCCCTCACTCTGCTTGTTAGCGGACTGCCGTCTTTTCCTCTCCATAGCAGAGCCATTCTTGCCCCCGTATCGGGGGGGGCACCTCAGGTGATACCGCCCCAAATTTTTGCTATAGACCACTGCACGCGTTCTTCCATTCAACTTACCTCATCTATTTCCTTTATCCATCGGTCTATCCCATCGAAAGACCAGCGATTAGTGATGTCGTACACCAAGAGAATTCCCTGGTGGAAGAAAATCAGGAGCAATCGGGAAGTTTCATAGAAGGTAAACTCAAAGGGAGACACATCTGAAAGACCACCTCCATGTGCAGAAACCAAAAGGCTAAGGGACTTCTGCATTATTTGTGTGCTTGCTAGGGCAAAAATCAAGACAACAGGTCTGTACTAACTCAGTCCTGGACTACTAGGGAAGGTTTAATTCCTGTTTTGTCTTGAATATCGCCCAAATAATTTCCAAAGCATCAGTCTCTACGAAGAAGGAGAAATTGCCTCAGTGTATCTAGAAGAGTAAAACACACCCTCTTCCTGTCACAAATCCGATACAAACTCACTGAGGCAGAAACAGTCTTTTTTTTTTCCACCTTACGCAGAAGGGCTGTATTCTGCAGTAGGATGGTAGCAGAACATGGCGAAGTTTACAAAGCACACCCATCTCCAGCTTGTTCTCCCTCTCCAGAGCTTGTCTCATTCTGTTGTCACTCTGCTGGCAGGGAAGAAGTTGAGTGATGCCAATAAGCAGCACAGCATCTCTGGAGGACTGAGATCCCATGACCGGGATCCATGCCAGGCCTTGCTGAGGGCAGCTGGTGTTGGTAGTTGTCACTGCCACACCGGCAGAGAACACACAGAGTACAGCGATGCTGGCAAACCTCAGACGGTCAGATCAAAGGTCCCGCTGAAGGACCTTTCCCCCACTCTTTCTTCTGGAAAGAGAGGTACCTACTGCATCCCCAGGCCCACATCCATCTTCACTAAATGCTACCACATCCACGCCTCGCTTCCCAGTCACCTCCCAAGGTGCAGCACAGTGATGCTGCCAGCTGGGACAGGCACAGCTCCAGGCAGGCAAATTTGTGCCTGCAGCCGTGCCGACACCGAGCAGGACCTCGGAGGGTCTCCGCCCGAGCCCCAAGCCCAGCTAGCAGGACTCGCGACCACGACCAGACCGCTGGCCACCATTCAGGTCTGCAGCAGCTCCTACCAAGTGAGCTTTTCTTGAATCAAAGCATTTCTGAGGACAGACACAAGGAAAGTAGGCTATGCCTGGCCCTGCGGGCACACAAGTCAACACATCAGGAGCTGCCTCAGTACTGGTCAGGCACATACAGCATTTAGAGAATGGTCTTAAGCAGCAGCCTTTCTGCAACTCTCCCGTTATTTTTCTGACTTCTTGTCACTCTCTTCTTTGCACTCAAGGACATTTCAGCTGACAACAGCCACTTCAAGGCTACTTCGCAGAACTGCAGTTGAAGATGCCCTGGAACGGGAACTATGGAGGAACAGATGATCTCACACCAAGAGAGGAGACAGCCCAGCTGGGAATGCAGTGCCAGATGAAAGGTAACCCAGCAGCAACAAGACTGAGCTAAGGGCAAAAAAAACCAGCCTGAGCTGACTCCAGGATAACAGATCATTTAGCAGCAAGCTCAGCAGAACCAGTCTTCTCCAGACCAGGGGTATCCTCCAGGAACAGCTGTCCCCTCCTATGGCAAGTCCCCAGTGCAAGCAAAAGAGATCTAATTTGGCAAAGGAAAGTCTGGCAGCCCAGTCCTCCCTAGGAGATGTCTAGATACAGCACAGCGGAGTAGTGAGCTGACAAACTGCCCATCATCTGTCCTGGTACAAGTCAGAGACCATCAAGCACCCTCATGTACCACTGGAGTTGCTCTTTTATTCATTGAAATGCAAGATTAACTACACAGATGGGAAACACAAACTACCCAGTCCTCCTGACACACAGCTTTGCAGCATTTGCTGCTGCCAAAGCCTGTGATGAACGGGGGGAAGCCTGTACAGAAGCCATGTACAAAGATGTGATGTACCTCAAGTTTATAAAAAAAAAAAAAAAAAAAAAAAAAAAGCAGCAGCATGAGATCTGGGGCACATAGGAATGATAAACACCAGGGCACCTGAGCCACAAAGGTACTTGAATCCTCATAACAAAGACGCCTTGAGCTGGCACTTGAAGCGTTCCCGCCACTGGGAAAAGCAGCCCTTCTTGAGTACGCTGGGTGTGCCTCGATGCTGTTTGCTTTTCTCTCACAGCAAGCAGCTCTCACAAAGCCTGCCCAATTTCATCGTTTTTAAAAGTCTTGGTCAGAACAATTCTGGTTCCTGAGCTTCATTCCCAACCTCACTGCATAGCACTTCCTCCCCAGGCAGTTGCTCTCCAGGCAAAGCTTGCTTTTTCTGTCCTTGCTGGCCCTCCAACACCTATGCCTCTGCATCTGTACTGTTTGCAGAAAGGCTTGGACGTAGAAAAAGAGGTGCAGAGGGTACAAAAGGCAAGTCATGTGTGATGGCTTGGTTTTCATGCTTGATAGCCCAACATGAAGAGTGAACCCTTCAAAGTTTTGTGCTTGAGGTTGTTCTGAGGGACCTGACGATGCAGAAGCATACATGGGGTGGGGGAAGCAGATGCATCTTCAGTTCCCTCCAAGGAAGTCTGGAGTTCATGTCTAGATGCCACAATTTTTTGCAGTGTCATTTCTAGAACAGGCAGAAAAACTTCATGCTCAAGAAGAAACTGAGGTTGTTTTTGTTTTGGAGAAGATCTCCAAGGTTTACACAGGAAAGAATAAGAAGGAAGTAATAATGTCCCACAATTAAGAAATTCCACAAATCCAAAGATACTGCTTTTCAAGAACCCAATCAAGAAACATCCACTACCAAGATACATCACATTTTAAGTACATTTTGAAAAAAAAAAGAAAAAAAAAAAGACAGAGACTCTAAGCTTTCTTTTCATTTTTGTTGTATTTGTTTTGACTTCTAGCTTCCAAGGCTGCATGTGTGAATGAATGGGAGTCAGGAAACAACAAAGCAAAAAGTTTGATGACCCCTTTCCAAGATAAACTGTCAGCAAGTTAAATAAGTAGACTTTCTTTTACTTCTGAACTGACAAGTTCCTTTGGCCAAGAGAAACAGACCCAAGACCTAGTTTGTGAAAACTGTCTCTGCCAGAAATACGCTCTAGGAGGAGAGAATTTTTAAGTGTGCTGGCAGCTGCAGCTTGGATCTTCTTTAAATAGGAATAAGGATAAAACATCAGCAAAAATGCAGCCCCAAGTTCTCAGGACCAGTGTGGAAGGTCAAGACCATGATTTCTAAATGCAAGAAGAGACAGACTGTCTGCCAGCTTACCCTCCAAGTCATAACAGAGCTCCATGCATGCACATTTAGAGTTAAGATTGTCAAGGAAAGCTTCCTGAAGGTCAGAAGACACCAAGGCCAAGTTGTCTAATACCTTGCTTCTGTCCCCGTCCTCCCCAGAATGGGTAAGATGACCACTTCTACTGTAACTCGGCAGAAGTTGGAGGAAGCAGTCTTAAAAGCCTCTGGCCAGCTCGTGGTGCTGCCAGACAACCTCGTACTTCTTCCAAGTAGCACTGGCACGCTCCAGACACCACGTTTCTAGAGAACACATCCCAAATAAACTTTGTCATTACCATTTTCTCCCCTAGAGAGAATAGTCCACAGACATGCACACAAGGAGCTGGCTGCATCTCTACAGACAGTTCCAAATAAGAGCTGGTTTTTGGTTTTGGTTTTTTGTTTGGGTTTTTTTGTTTGTTTGTGGGTCTTTTTTTTTGTTTGTTTGTTTTTTCTTTTTTTTTTTACAGTCTCCTTTGGACTAATGTGCACAGAATTTTAACTTACTTAACTAGACAAATGAACAGTTTCTCGTTTGCAGCCTAAATTGTTCTCCAGGTGCCTAGATGGCTGTCAACACCATAATATCTCCATATCTCTCACTTTTTACTTTCATAAAGCACCTCTGTATGTGTTATGTACCCCAAGTTCCCACTGCACAGAAGTGAAAAGCTGTGCCCTCAGGTTCTCAGATCAAGGGTATTCTTGAGCCCTCACCAACGCTCCAACAGCCTTTCTTTTCTCCTCAACCTGCCTACAGGCTTCTCTGTGCGAGGTGGAAGATGGCTGGACTCATCCTCAGCGTTGTCTCAGGTCCTTTCACAACTGATTTTCAAAGTTCATTTCCATTCTGTTTTTGTTCCACTCTACTGGGATTGGCACAGCCCTACGCACACCAGAGACAGAAATTTCCACGTGAGTACATCACGTAGTGAACAAGGAACTCAGAGAGATCATCTGTTATTGTATCCAGCAGTACATGTGGACACTCACTGTGCCAAAACCTAAACTTGTTTTCAGAAGGAGCTTACACAAAGACCTGTCCACATAACCAAAGGGGAAAATAAAATGGTATCATCCCTGTCTGCTTGCTGCAGACTTAGACCAGGCTAATGAGCAATAAGCTTTTAAAGGTGAGAGAGAAGCAGCATGCTCACCCATCAGTGCAAAGCAAACTTCTCCAGAAAGGCTTCTCAGAGTCTTTAGGAGCTGGATCTCCAGTCGCTCGCACAAGCGCATAAGAACATTGCTGGGAGGAAGCAAGTGCTCACACAACTGCCAAAGACCTCAGCTCAGTGCAGGCAGATGACCTGGCGGCCACTGTTCACTGGTATTCTCCACTGATTGAAAAAAGCTGTTGCTGCAGAAGCCTGGAAGAATCCCCCAGACTGGATTTCTCCAGCCCACAGGACGAAGTAAACCACAAACAAAGATCCAGCACTGACAGCAACCAAAACACTTTGTCTCTCCTGCCTGCTCTTTTGGAGCTACATTTGGTCATGGCTTTCCAGCTGGCACCTCGGACCTTGGCTCACAGGCAATTACGTCCTGCTGCCAAACCACTTCCCAACAGCATAACACATTGAGGGGGTTTATTTATCACTGAGCTTTTGATAAAGGTTTTGGCAGGCAGGGTGGACTCCTCCAGCAGCTGGACAACCCCATCAAAATGACCTGAGGCAGGTAAAGTACTTGCAGCAACAAAGGAAGCTGTAAGGTAGAGCAAAGCCTACATCTCAGAGTCTGCTCAGCTGCCAAAAAAGCCTTCCTGCATACTAAGAAGTTCTGAACAGGATAAACAGCAGCTACTCAAATCACTTGCCTAAGCAAAACTCAACAATATTCATTATTCTGCTAGGGCTGCAGCTTTGCTGTAAGATGGGATCATTTTTTCAGCATTGATTATGGCTTCTTGTACATGGTCTGAAACTATTCATGGAGGACCTTCTGTATCACACTGTCTGGGAAGAGTTGCCAAACCACATTTCCAGAAGCAGTTTAAATCACTGGCACATGAGGACAGCAGGAATTATACTAGCACTGCTGCTTCCTTGCTAGAACAGAAAGCACCACCACAACCCTCTTTCTCCCCTCCATGATGACTCTTGGAATAGCTTGCATTTGCTCACAGCAGCCAGAAGAGCCACAGCTGCACGCAACAGTTGAGATCAGCGTGCCAGCTCTGCTGTCAGTATCACTGAGACCTTAGAGCCAAGCAGAAAAAGCTAAAGAGCAGAAGTCCAAGAGCAAAACAAAAGATTTCTGAAGCACCTTTAAGCATCACTAAATGCCTTTCACCACATGCCACATTGTGACAATTAATATAAAAATCCTGCTGCAACACAGCAAGCTCCAAACTCCCTGAGTTTGTTCTGCAAGTCACAACACTACTGGGTTTCCATCTCCACCCTCCCCTGGCCCTAGAGCCACCATGACGTGGCCTGCATACTCTCCATGCCCCACCAGTGCTCTGCTATCCCAGACACAATGGCTCCTCTTTTGCCCCAGATAGAGACCCTGATGCGACGTGGTCAGGACCAACAGACCCTAAAGACAGTAGGGATGATGAAGGCAGCTGTGATAAAGCAGAAACTCAAACCCCAGGGATGCAAGAAGAGAAATGCAGCGGGGTCCCAGACACACCAGCACACAACAAAGCCTCCACCTTGAGACAAAGAGCTCACTGTACCCCTAATGAGATCAGAGCAGCTAGGCAGGGCATGGGGAGGAAGGCAAGTCAGATCTTTGATCCTCACAGCAAATCCTGAGGCAGATGGGGCTGGCTCACCTTGGCTGAAAGAAGGGACTGGTCCTCATCCAAAACCAGCTCATCAAGGACAGTGAAGCTATTTTACTGTAGATGTTTTCGAGAGGAAGAA